GCTCTATACAAGGTGGGTTTTTTTGGGTTTTTTTAAAAGTTTTTTTTTTTAATTAAAAAAAAATTTATTTTTGAATTTTTTTAAATTTTTTTTTGAATTTTTTGAATTTATGTTTATTAGATAATTTTTTTCACTATTTAAGTAAAATAGTTAAAGTCCAAACAAAATAACCGCAAAACTGACGAAAAAGATTTTAGATCAGTTTTATTTTACTAATGAAACAACTCGCAGTATGAAATCGAAATTAAATTCAAATGTTTAAGTTCTAAATTTTTTTCCACGTAGAGTAGAATAGAGTGAGTTATACTGCGCATTGAGACTAATTATCAGTCAAAAGTTAAAATTTCCTGAGATCAGTGACTGAAGAGAGCACTCGACCTGGACACTTTTCTACTTCAGCAAGACGTGCAGTGAAGTGCGTGCTAAGTTTCCCTAATTTTTATGATTCATTATTTCATTTCTCATATAACTTTAGTAATTGTAGTCATTTTTGATTCCATAAATTTTAATAGAATTGCAGGGATTTGCGCTTGAAAAACAGTAAAATTACATCCGCTATATGAAGTCGAAGCTAATTCAAAAGTTAAGATGACTCTAGCAAACATCTTGCTGCGGTGCTTATCTCATAGCAAGTGCGAAAAGTTGCCATTGTTTTAGGAACACTTGGTGTATGTCTTGAATCATTTTATAACAGAAAATGTTGACAGAAACAACCAGCAAATTTTAGATACCTTTAGCTGAAATTTATCTCCACTGGTGAGCATTTTTTTCACTTATTTCTGCTTTCGTTTTCAGTTACACTTCCTTCAAATCAATGTAAGCTTCAGCTATTACACATCTCGTCGCAGTCATATATGACACTATGATACAATTTATTTATTGAGTAATTACTTGGTTTGACTAGTTTTCAGATGTCGATGGCTTCAGTTTCAAAAATCAAGGTGAAAAAACATTCTCTTCAGGTAATTTAAGATTAATAAAGTCATTGAGATTCAGAACTGAAAAATTCAGAATTACTTTGTATTCTGCATAACGAATTTTCCATTTTGCTATACTGACAGCGCTTTTTGCGCTGCTCAGCGGTTCTCAGCCGGTGAGGCAGTCTAATGGTAGGCTATAATAATCGTTAAGTGTTAGGAGCCTTCTCCTGTTTCAGAATCGTCGCCCTACTGGTGGATTTAGGTATGGTATCTACATTACGAAGTTCTCATTGATCGGAAGCGAATTTATGTTGTTTGAGATAACCTGACTTATGGCTCACTATCTCAAAAGTATGAATCTCATTTACCAGACACATTAACAAATATATTTTTTGTCTTTTAAGGAATTCTGCATGTTTTGCAAAATCACTAATCCAGTATTTATAGTAATTTATTGAACGCATATTTTATTGCAGCTAAAATGATTGCAGACAAAAATGCAAATTACTAGATTTTGCTGCACTGAGCCTGATTACACGAGTTCAGCCAACCATTTTACAAAATTATCTAAAGAATTTATTGACCAAACAGGTAAATATTCTCTACAAAAATGAATGATAGAAGTCCTTTTTTATTCATAAATATATGACAAATTCTAGAATCAAGATAAAAAGAAGAACATCTTCATTTGGTTGTCATTTATTAGAGTTTAATGACCTACAAAATTAAATGAATGAAGGCACGAAATGAGAGTAAATTTCAAAGATCAAGCAAAGATGAAAAAAGTTCAGTTCACTTGGCACAAATAATTAAAGTAAACAAAACATGATACAATAAACACATAGTGAATATGAAGATATTAATTACTAGAAGTGATAGATTTGATAATTCTGAGTTCCTCTATTGGTTTATCTATTTAAAAAAAACCCCGTTCCAAACCAATACTTAAAATATATTGATGCATTTAATTTTGATTATAAAATAATGATAGATCAAAATGTAATAATACGTGACAAATATTTAAGCTTGAAATGCTTTTTAAACTATGGCACAAATGTCCAATAAAAACTTGTAATGAAATTGCAAAACCTGTGGGAGAGATATTTGAGCTGGTGAAAAGTAATTGGAGACCACGAGATATTCAGCAGTCAGTAACCACGCTTCACAAACAGATGCTAAAAAATGTTCATTGTAAACATGCTACACATGACAGCTTGTGAAAACGACAAAATATTAAAATTGATAAAATATTGCTAATTAAGCATAAAAGAAACCTAAATCATACAAAGTGCAATAAGCTACACAAAAATCGGGAGCACATTGATAAGAAATGCGCAGCGGACAAAAAATGCAATAATTAGTTGCAAATCAGATCAAACTGTGCGAAAAAAAAAACGGAAAAAAGCAATGGATAATACAACAGAAAAGAAGTGCAGACTTTATGCTTATATCCTACATAATTGTACTCGTACTAGTGATCAAAAAAATGATTGTTGACGATTATTTCTGCTTAATTTTCATTCGTCATCCTTTTATTGGTGATATTATCTTAAATTCCTGAGCTAGTAAAAAGTAATGGGAAGCATCAGGATATTCAGCAGTCAGTAACATGAATCTCATCACCATGTAAAAATATCAAATGTTTCTGAGCTTAGTTGAACATTATTTTAAATTCGACTAAGACTGAAAATAGACTGAAAAATATTTTTAGGCCCCCCTTAATCACACCAACAATTTAATTTATGTATGTTTAATAGTTATAAACAACAGCAGTGCTGTGTAATGAATAAAAATAACCGTAAAACAACACTGACCGACTTAACAATATTTACATATTGTAACGCAAATTAAATAAAAAGACATTAGGGCAAATAGAAAAAGCAACATCACAGTGGATAAAATGAGAAATGCCAAATAGGGCAAAATCTTAAACGATAAGAGCAGTTGGTGAATCCGATTTACCAGCCTCATTTGAATTACTGCGAAGCAAAAGTTTTCTAAAAATTAAGATGAATTATATCAAACTCTACAATACGTTCCTATTTTAAAGAAGACAATTTAATATCACAACAGAAATTGCAATTTAGCTTTTATATTATGCTTCTCAAATGACTAAAATGAATTTCCTAAAAAATTTTGAGACAATAAATCTATGAAAATTGAAAATAATCTTAGAAGAAAAAGCGAACTCTAAAATCACTACATGATAATTTTAAGGATAATGATAACATTTTCAAAGCAACACAGGTTTGATTTATCAAATCATTAAATATGACTTTGAAACATATTTCAACTCAATATGATTACAAGTATAATGACAAAATCAAGTTTGCTTTTTACTTAAATCAAATTTATTTCTTACGATCAACCTTAAATTAAGTTACCTCTCAGACGGCGTAACACGACTCACACTTTGTTGCGAACCAAAGATAGAAGCTATAGTTGAAATAAACGAATTAAGCGATGATTTCGATAATGATCGTCGGACTCCAGAATCATCCAAGCCACGATGTACGACAACTGGCCAATCTCCCATTGCTAAGCGTGCCTGATGAGCACGAAACTCTGCACAATCCAAAGTTTGCTTGTCAGGCTTTCTAAACAATGAAAACTACAATCAAGTAATAACAAATCTAAAAGAGAAAAAAGCTAAAGCACACGTTAATTAAAAAACGAATAAATAAAGGCAATAAAGAACATGAAAAAAATTGTTAAGAGGATAAACAAAAGACTGCTTTCGTTTTAAAAATTTGAAGGATAAAAGTTTGATGATAAACTTGAACTCTTCTTAAAATAATCCAACTTTACAATTTTTAATAACTGACTTGTAAAATCTTAGCAATAAAGAAGAGGTGACAACACTGACTGACGACAAAGCCATCGCCGCAGCTGCCATCCATGGCTGAATTGTGAAACCCCATGGCATAAAAACACCTAAATCACCGCTTGCTTTCCATAACACTATTGTCATACTAACACTGTAAGCAAGAGGCCAACAGATTATCCTTAGGTCAATGTATCTGATCTACATTTCATAATACTATGAAGATATAATTTATAAATAACTCAAAGTTTGGTTTCCTGACATTAAAAATTTTTACTATGATCGTCAAGAATAATTGAGGCAATTTCTATACATTAAGATATGTTACAATTCGTAATTGTTGTACACTTTCCACAACAAAAACACTTCCAAAAATAATATCACTCCTTATAATATTTGATTCCTCAATTTCGTACTCTTTAAATTCTAACCCACATTACTTGGGTTGAGTTTTGATTTTTTAAATGAGCCTAACGAATGATAAAATGCATCAGACATGATAACAAAAATGTCGAAGAAAACCAAAGTCAATTGTTAATGACTGCTTTTTTTTTCACCAATTTCACTTACTACAGAGAAAATTATAATAGAAATAAAGAACCGGCAGCAATGGGAATTCCAATGGCATTGTAGAGAATAGCAAATAAGAAATTGAGTTGTATTCGACGGGTTGTTCTCTTCGACAAATCAATGGCTGCTACCACATCAATAAGATCATTCTGAACTACGGCAATAGTATTAATTTAGTAATTTATTTGTTTTTTCTAGCCAATGCTCTACAACTACTTACATTATGCATTCATAAGCAAGCTTCACATATTAGGCATTCAGATGTGTATTTTCAATGCAGCTACTTGATAAAATATATGCTAATTATTTATGTCAGAAAAAATTCAGCTCCTAATAAGTATCAGAACTTATTATTACGCATTAAGTAATCTAGTCAATAGTTACAACTTATATCATAATTTAATATTCTGCGAAATATGAAAATTTTCACTTTTACAAGTACGATACCCGCGCTCTCAATGGCAACATCTGAACCAGCTGCGATAGCAATACCAACATTTGCAGTGGCCAAAGCAGGGCTGTCATTTATTCCATCACCGACCATAGCTACTCGCTCTTTTGTATGCTAAAATGACATGATTATTTTCAAAATTAGTTTTGCTGCATACACATGTCAAAGGGAAGAATTGTGAATTAAGCAGACCAAACTAATGTTCTATTAAAATATCATGCTTGCTTGATCAAATCTGACATTTGAAGAAATCAATTTTTATTAATGTTAATATAAAATTATAAAGGAAGGAAGGAATAATAATAATAATAATAATAAAGAACAATAAAACACAAAAAATGTTTCAAAGCATATAAGTTTCGAATTTACAGAAGGTCAGAACAATAAAAAGATGAAAAAAAGTTAAAACTATGAACAAAATTCCCTGTGAAGTATCACCTGCAGCTGCTCAATTTTAATTCGTTTCTGATTTGGTAAAACTTCGGCAAACACCTCGCGAATACCAACTTGTCGCGCAGTTGCCCCGGCAGTACGAGCATTATCCCCTGTCAACAGAATTACTCGAATATTCATACGTTGAAGAGCCCAAACTGCAAGAGAACCCTCACTTTTCACCACATCGGCTATGCTTACTACCACAACAATTTGTCCTGAAATAAAGGAAATTATTATGACACATTAGACGATGAACTATCATGTTTTTGCTAGTGTTCAGAAAACTTCCCTCTGTTATCAATTTTTTTCAACATCCTGTAAATTAATTTAAGTGACAACCAGTAAATGAATGCACAATACATTTAAAAACTTCATACTCCGCTTATTTTCAAACGTAAAAAAGATACATCTAGTTGCGGATCAAGAACTAAAACCGATTTAATAACTTCTATTTAAGAGTAAATAGAGACCAAAAAAATATATCCAATTATTTTATAAACTGAAACTTCACAATTTCAATAAACAGGTCTTTACCATTAATCGCACAAATGACAGAAATATATCCACTTTTCTGTTCTTCTTCAACAAGATTCTGAGTAAATTTATCAATAACAACTGCATTTTTTTTCATCCATCGTTCGTTGCCAATGACCACTCGAAAATGCTCACTGACACTGAATGTTTCTTCATTAATGTCTAAAAATAAAACTCTGTTTTTTTTTTTAAAGCAATAGCTATAGAAACTAGGACCAGTATTTAATATAGTGAATAACTCACCGTAATGGTTCTTCCTAATCACAGATACGTCGTTATTATTAAGTTTGATCGTACAGTTGATTTTCGAAGCTTTCTCTTTGCTTAAACCTACATTTTGTAACATTTCATCCACTTTTCGTATTTCACAAACAATACCATTTCCAGCTGATGCGTGAAATCTTCTAACACTGGCCCATTCCTTTGTATTTAGCCACTAAACGAATACAGATGTGATCTTAAGTTGAGAGTACACCGTAAGCTTTCATTCTAATAAAGCTTCAAATATTTCTGATATATGCCATCCTTACTTCTTTGACAAAATGAGCAATAGATGTTGCAATTGGATGATCACTATTTGATTCTGCCGAACCAATTATTGCAAACATTTTTCTCAAAGACAGACAAGTTTCAGGAATTAAAGTCTGAACTCGAATGACACGTGGACGGCCTTCAGTTATGGTGCCAGTTTTATCCATTACAACTGTTGTAATCTAAAAACTAGTAATTCTTATACGTATTTGAAACTAAAACTTAAATTTCAAACTAAATGACAGGAACTTTATCAACGCCATTTTTTACTTACCTGCTTTAATAAATAAAGGAAATGTTACACAGAGACGAAGTGTAATTAATATAACGTTTCAGACTACTTCTTTTACTGAAATCGCAAAATGAACACTAATCAGCAATATGCTGCATTAGTGCTCCCTCCTTACATATATTTTATGCACAAGTGAATATTTACTTGTTAAACACCGCCAAAATTTTTTGAAAACTCAAACTGTAATAATTTGAAAATTATATTAGACAAAAATTTAAAGTCAAAATAAAATTAAATCTCTTCAAACTATTAGTTAACACAGACAACATTATAGGTTTCTGCTTTTGCTTTTTACTAATCCTTATCTTACACACTTTACATAAGTAATAGTCAGATTCACACTTAATTTTCTGTGAAATGCCAACTATTTCAAAGCAATTCCGTTCACCTTATGAGCCATTTCTAGTGGTTCACCACCTTTGATAAGTATGCCATTAACGGCACCAATGCCGGTTCCAACCATTACTGCCGTTGGTGTCGCTAATCCTAAAGAACACGGACAAGCTATCGCCAGTACTGCGATGCCTGCTTCAAAAGCACGCTTCAATATAATTTCCCATTTTGTTATGGTATCCTGAATAAGCATAATACAGAACTTTACTATTTTATGACTTATAAAAATAAATAAATAAATGAAGAATCATTAGAAGTTGTGCAGATCACAATACACCAACAACAAAATTAAACAGATTTCGTTTTGTGAACTACGATGTTTTTGTCTCTAACATCGAAGAATATGATCAGTTAACCGTGTGATTTAAATTTCAATATAGATTTCTATTCTATGAAAATCACGAGATAATGCACACAAGAAAATTAAAATACTTGGTGGTCGCAGTACTGCACCGTTTCCACCGCTTAAGAAATTCAGAATTTTTCTTAATACAAACAGTAACTATTTTTTTATAAAACGTAACTATTTTTTTGAAAATTATGTGGCATTTTTTCCAAAAGTATGATGTGGAAAGTACCCTATTATCGTCGTCATAGATATAAAAGCCGACGAAAATCCAAATTAAAAGTGTCAAAGCTGCAAGGCCAACAACTACTGGGACAAAAAAACCAGCTATTCGATCAGCAGTTTGTTGTATAGGTGCCTGTAGATGAATATAATTCCTACATTTTATAAACAAAGATAAGAATTTTAAGCGAAATAAAACTGATTGCTTACAAAGTCACTTAAAAAAATGAAACCATTTCACATAGAAATCTGACTTAATTCCGTCAATACTAAAAATAAGAACTTTTGAAGTTTGCGCTTCTTCGACTAAACGAACAATTTGTGCCAACGTTGTTTCTTGACCGACATGAGTTGCTTGTATCAACAGTGTACCATTTTGATTAACAGAACCACCTATCACTGTACTACCTAAAATTATGACGAAACTGAGAGAAAACAAATTGTTCTAGACAATGTACAAATTTTAAATAATTTGTTTTGATCAAAATTAAGGGAAAGCAACATCCATATTTGCTGAACCATGTTTCAATGCTTTCCAGCTTTGAAGATAAAAGTAAAATTAAGGGAAAGTTGTCTTTCTGAAACATCATCGTTTTTAAAAATTTTCATTCATTGATTAGCAGACCACGCAGATAAACCATCAAAAACTTCATCATATTTCAAGTGAAAAAAAAATCAAAAAGAATTCGAAAACAAAAGTATGATTCCGATTTTTTCCAATACCTTGTTTTTTGACAACAGGCATTGACTCTCCAGTAACAAAAGATTCATCTGCTACACTTTTACCATCCACAACAATGCCATCAACTGGAATTTTAGCGCCGGGGACAACTTTTAATACATCGCCTCTTTGAACCTCAAATTTTGACATAATCGTTCTTACATTATTTTTGTGATCACTTTATTTATTCTCATGATACAAAATTTTTACGGCATCTCCTAAACATTTTAGTCAACAAAATTCTATCCTAAGAACTAACCAATTCAACATTTATATTTTCTTCTGATAAAATACGTCCATCAGCACAATCTCGAGTAACTAAAAGTGCTTCTTTTGCCTGCAAAGACATCAGCTTACTCAACGCTTCAGATGTTTTACCTTTTGCTTTGTACTCCAACCATCGTCCTAATGTTATAAATGTTATAAGCATTGGAGTAACATCGAAAAACGTCATTGGACTACTCGGCCATCTAAAATTAGGTACTAATGATGATACCACATTCTCACAGCTTCCTAATCATAACTATTATTACTAATCACTCCACAAACAGTTGTAATAATACAAATTTGGTGGAATATGAGTGTGAGAGATTTTGAAAAATTTAATCAGCCATATAAAAATAATGAGTACCTCAAAATAATAGCTGTCATAATCACAATAAATGAGTAAGAAAATGAAATGGTCGTTGCAAGTACAATTAAAACATCCATATTTGCTGAACCATGTTTCAATGCTTTCCAGCTTTGAAGATAAAAGTATTTTCCACCAATAATCTGCAAAGAGTTAATGGTCTTTATTACCAAAAAATATTGAAAAATCAATGTAACTCACTGCATAGAAAAAAGCAATCGAAAACGAGCAAGATGCAAATGTAATACTATTCAAATAAACAAGTATGAAAGTAATTCCATAAGTCAAATATAAGGTAGATTAAATTATATTTGTAAATAAATAGTATGTTATAAATGAAGAACCAATAACATATAAATTTCTTTCGCACCTGGACAGGCGTGCAGAGAACGAATAAAATTAAATTATCGAGACTAATTGCTGGAATAAATATAGGAGTCTGATTTTCAGGATGCATTGGGGTATGTTGGAACCAATGAAAATAAATCATTACACCCATCACTGGAATGCCAAATAATAATGATACCAATAACGAATTTCTCCATCTAAATTAGGATTTTTGAAACCTGCCATCGTCACTTTAGGATTTAATTTCTTCCACACAATTTATGCTAATTGATCATAGTCTTTCTTGACCAATTTTTATTAGCTGATTATAGAAGTTATAAGCTCAACTCATCCTAGTTTGTTAGTAAACAATATTTTATAATAAAACTATAGGCAGAGACAAACATAAAATAGAATTTCGAAACTGTTCACGAATTTCTATATAAATCTTGAAAAATTAGCAATTTACTCAAATGCTCAATATCAAAAACACTTTCAAACATACTTAGCTGTTTCAGCAGAATGATCCAATCTTTTCAGCTTTTCATCATGACTCGCAATTGTTGCTGAATATCCCAAATCCTTAATAAATTTATCACTGCAAAAATTCTCGACAGAATTAGGACTTGAACCTTTATTAATAAGCTATTTACCTCAATCACTTTGATAATATCTCGTGGTCCTATGAACGTAGGAGTATATTCGATTCTTGCAACAGAAGCTACTAAAGAAACAGAACAAGATTCAATTCCTTTCCTCGCAACAACATGTGATTCAATCCGTGACACGCAAGTCTCCGAAGTTAATCCACTGATCTAAAGCTTTTAAAGTGAATAATGCTTTGAAAACAAAAATTTTACAGTGATTATTAAAATGAATGCGACACCAAGAATAATATACAACTGAAAACAAATGCTTATGAATAATAAGACCAACTAGCAAATTTAGCACACTGTGATTGTTAAATCCATCATCAATAACAGCAGCGCGATAACCTAAACGATTGATTCCATCTGCTATGTCTTCCGCAGCAATTATCATGGAATCATACACGACCTCCGCTTTTGATGACATGAGTGCTACGACCACAGAATGCACACCTAAAATAATTTCTTCCAAAATAAATACAACAAAGAACTACACACTACCAAAAAAATGAAATTGATATGACTGACTCCTAAACAAATAATATCTCTCTAAATAATGATAAAAACACGCAAATGTATCTCACTTATTCCAAGTTTCCCAAATACTGAAAATTTTACTTTATGATTAAAAATTGAAAAACAGCAACGTTGTTTCATAACTTTAACACTTGAGAAATATATTTTAATATTATTTGAAACAACTGATGCAAGCATTATCGTTACATTCACGAGTACATGGATTGCTTGTAGATTTCAATCTCAGTTTTATGCAAAATAAAACGTGTAAGGAAATGATTTTTGAACGGAGAAAATTTTCAGTACTGTTGTCAATGAAATCAAACGTTATCTATTCTTAACAAGACTAAAATTAGCAGCACTTTAATGTCCTCATTAATAACTAATTCGAATTCAAAAAACAAAAGGGATACCTTTAAGTTTTCCTATATTTCGTTCGATATATGCGACACATGAAGCACAAGTCATACCCTCAATTGAAAATGTTCGTTTTTCAAAAGAATCATTATTGGCCATGCAAAATTTGCTTGTTTTCAGCCCAAGTTTCACAGAAGGTTCATCTTTTTTATCTTTCATTTTCCTCACAAACAATGATTTCTCGACTGATTTCTCCTCGACGAAGTCTAGCAATAAATTAACTTAGAAACAGTTACCACTAAACAAAAGAAAGAGTGCTTCTGACTGCATTAATCTACTCTTGAGCTTACGAAAAAGCTCCCAAACTGATTTAAATTCCAGAAATGTATTTGGTATCCCTCATCATAAATCGCTGCAAGTGATTAGTATTTCATATTATTTTGAACAAATAATGTTTTCAAACAAAATGTCTTTAAACTGACAACCTAACAGATAATGAAATACCTTCAGTTCCTTGCAGTTCTGCATCAAAACCCATATCACTAATTAGTTCAACAATAGCCTGCGCAGTCCATTTTAAAGTGTCGTATACAATATGCCCTTAAATGATTTAAGAAACAAATATATGAAAACAGACCTAAATTTACGTAGAAAAATGTACGTGATTATAATACACAATTAAAATATTAGCAAATTTTTTCCGGTTCACAAGGACGCATAATACGCATGAACTTTTTAAAAGTATTTTTGAATTTTCAGCAAATATACTGTATAATTAAAGGTAAGAATAGGATTTTGCTCATTAAAAGTGAAACGGATTAAAAGCTGACCTTGACATTCGTTAAGCGAGACAGAAATTGACTTGATCCCATCATTTCTCCCAACCGTTTCTTCAATAGTATTCACACATGAATGGCATGTCATACCTCTGATTTCAACTACTGCTTTTTGAAAATTTGGGATTTTTTGAGGAGTTCTGGTTACATTTCTATCTAAAACTAATTTTAATTAAATTTAGGAAGCCACTAAAATATTTGATTGAATTCTTAAATAACACGATATTTCAAATTCTCAATAATCTAAAGCAGATTTGCAAGACCTCAACATTAGCTGCTAACCTTGGATAAATGAAAATTTAACTGTTAAAATAATAATGAATAATCGAAGCTTAAATTTAATATACTCTAGAATAAAATAGCATTACAAAATATAATACATAGAGAATATATTTAATTCGTTTCGGTAATAAAAGTAAAAAAAACACACACAAATTAATGAAGTAAGCTATTGCATACTTGTTCAAAACTCGTTAAAACTAATCAACATTGTTTTGAAACCATTGAAGAAAAACATTACTATATGTTAAAACCAATCAGCAATCCTCAAAATTTTGCATTAATCATGGTACTTAAAAAATCCTATTCAAAAATATTGGATGAGTCATGTTAACATGAGCGAATGACTGAATTTTAAATCATACGTAAATACAAGCATTAATTTAAGCACAGATTCCACTAAGCATAAAAACCGTTATATCTTGGAAACATTTTAAAATCAAAAAATAAAAATATAGCGATACTTACCATTAACATACTTCAAGCTTGCATTCAAAGCCATACTGTTAATTACGTCTACAATATCATTATCATCCAATTTTGATGGATCAAAACTTACAATAGCTGAAATATAAGATAAAATTCACATTTCATTACCGTAAAAATATTTACCATCCGAAATATTCCAAATTATTCTATTTAATTACACATAATTTCATGCAAGAACATAAAGACTTCATTATTTCATCCATTATGGATGAATCATTACGGAAAATTAAGGACCAACTATCACTTCCTATACTTAATATACGAAAGAACTATTATGAAGTGAACTTAAAAATAAAGCACTAATAAAACCTCGTTTATCCTCAAGTGATACAACTGCCTGATGAATGCCTTGTTTTTCTAGCAATTTTTCTTGAATATTCTTCACACATGAATGACATTTCATTCCTTCTACATTAATTATCACAACTTTATCCTCGTTTTTTGTTGAATGAGCCAAAAATGTGCACAATTCTTGTACATTTTCGTCCAACATCTGAAATAATGTACATTATATTTGATAAATTTGTAAGCGAAAAACTATTAAAAAGAATTTACTAAAAATACTGATACCATCAAATAAAAATACAACAACAAAATGAAAATCTAATATTATACTCAATATTTGCAAAATGAATTGAACAGAAAAAATTTCTCTGTACAGCAGATGCTTACTCATAAATGTTCACTTGAGATACTGAAAAAAATCTCTAGTGTAGAACTAGTTTTTATCTTCTTAATAACAATTTTAGTTTGTCTCTCTCAACGACATTTATTTAACACACATTTATTTAACACTACAAATAGAAAAATGTATTAGATAAAATGAAAAAAAAATAATGTGCCAAATAAAACATAAATGAAATTGGATATTTGCACAAATCGCAAATGTGCACAATCTAATCAATTTTGCCAATAATTAAACAAATAAAATTCTATTTGATAATTGATTCAAAACACTTAATTTACGACAAATTTTAAATGAAAAGTAAAAAAAACACAAGCAACAAAGTCTTATTGAACAGCCATGAAATGCATAACAGATGAAGTCTTTACTATATATTCAGATAATTTCAATTTTCAATAATTAACCAGTAACTATAACTATCACTGCTTTATGAACTGATTTTTATGCTTAATTTGTAGAGTAGTGCTGATTACTATGTAACTAAAAAATCATTTCAAACATAATCAGTAGCACAAAATGAATTATTTAAAAATCAAACAAATGAAATGGAATAATACTAACAAATATCTTCCCAGTGGAAAAACCAAAAGATTAGAAGATATAATCACCTCTATAGAAAATGATAAAAGCTATAATGTGCTGGTCATCAATCATTATTATATAAAGTGAAATTCAACAAAAATAATAAAACAAACAATTTTACTAAAAAATAACTTGAATTTAACTTTAAATCCTAACTACGAAACTTTTCTGCAAGTTGAACAAATTCAAACCTCTTGTCATAATTATATTTCTGAAATACTACTAAATTACTCCAAAATTGTATTTGTAATTTAAAAAATCAAAAAAGTGCTTAACTAATTAATTCTTATTATTACACACAACTCTTGACTCTTTTGTCCTTTGTTCTTAAAAACTTGTCATAACAATATTATTTGATATTTCTTGAAAAACAATAGCTTTTTCATCATTTTTTAAGTATGCTTTCATCTTTTAAGAGTTAACAACTCTATATATTTCTTGGCAGTGATAAGTTTTCCATGGAAAAATCCAAAAGTTTATTTCTATGATTTTCTCATACCTGCTTAAATATCTACTTATTATTATTATTATTATTCTCATTAATATGAATACAACTTATAGCAAATTAAATTGGTAGCAACAAACACTGAAACTGCCTGCCACAGAAAACAATTAAACTGGTTCTAGTTTAAATAATAATTAGGTACTTATTTTCATTGCCAGCTAACATGTATTTTTCGAAAAGCAAAAGGGAATGTTTAAAACGAAAATTACATCCATTATTATATGACTGAAATAATGCTGTCTACCAATACATTGATTCTACGAGAAATATTGCTCACGCTTGTTTTCGTAGTTATAATCCGAAGTTATCTGCAATTAATGAACAATATCGCTATGGAAATCGCAAATTTTAAGCAATAAATTTAAAAATTTTTACATAAACAACAATTGAAAACCAAATTTTTATCTGTTTGACTGTTTCTGATTAATTTCGCATCACACACTGCTTTATCAGTGTAAAATTTTAAAATCTCACTACTCCCTCATCGTCTTTATTTTTGGTTTCAGAAAAAAAAAGCCAATTACAAAATATGGAAAATTTGCTTATTTTTTAATAGATTTTAATACATTTTTTCACTTTTTTAGTAATTACAGTGAATCAATAAAAAATCAATTTTCCGGCGAGTTTTTCCTGCACTCAGTTGTATCACTTTTACAATACATTTCTGATACATTAAATAAACACAATTTTGAACTTTATTTCAGCTACAGTTGGGACATAATAATACTTGACGGACTGCAAAAAAATTGTAAAGAACAGCAAAAAGATTGATAAAAAATTTTTCCGATAAAAAATAAGTGTAAAAGTAATTAAAAATGTGTGCATGTCTTAATGAGATAAAAGTTGGACAAAGATAATATTTGCCAAACTTCTACTTTTCACTTAAATTTGAATATACAAATTTAAACTGAAGAAAGGAGTAAATTAGATATAAAAAAAGAAAATGCTAGTGACAAAGTTCAAATATAATCTACTTGTAAGCATCTTAGCCACAATCATCTTTACTTATTGATATATATGTGGTGAAATGAATTATACAAATAAACAAGATGTATAAAGCAGAAAAAATGAAACAACGGGAAAATCAAAAAATAAGGCATAAAAACACGGCGTTATCCTCACATTCTGCAGCATTTAACTGATAAGAACGAACTTTTCTGGACGTAAATGAAAGTAAATTGCTAAGTATTATATTTAAATGGCGAAAAATGCCAAAAGTAGACAATAGAAATGCTTAAAATATGCCAACTGAACAAGTAAAATAAAATTATGTCAATAATTGAATATTATTCGTTGCTTCGTTTTATTCCACTCAATATCACTCCAAAATATTCAATTGCAGTTTTTTGTCATATCCCAATTCAATCATACAGAAAAACGTTAAACCACGTCACATACATCAATCACACGTGAACGTTTAAATAAGCTTTTCTTATTTGCATATGCATCAAATACAGTTGTCGTAAAGTGAAGAAAATATTACGAAGGCCGCAAAGCAATCATTAAATAGTGCTTTGAGGTATATTTTGCCATGGTGAGACGTTTGCATGCAAAGTATTGCATCACCACAATGGCTTTGCTGCCAAACTGTGAGAGTACTAGCGTGTAACTAATTTAACGCACTTTACGCCACATTTATAAGATTTTTATTCTTATCATTTTTATCTTTGCACTGTTATCAGTCCATGAATTGATTTTTATTGGCTCATTTTTGAAAAAGTTTCTCTTATTTTCGGATGTTTACCATTTTAGAATATATTAACTGATAGTGTTCAGTGGAATGTATGTAAAATAAAATAAACTGCTCGGATGACAATGACAACTACTAGCAGTCGTAGAACAAAACTGCAACAGTTCTCTTTCAGTAATGGCAATAACACAGTAAGTAATTTGTTATAAGTTATTTCAGATATAAATTTTGCAATTAAAAGCTGGAATTTTGATTCAGAAAGAATGAAGGAATGAATTTCCAACTGCTAATTGTAAAAGTGTCTTCAGAAATCAAAAAATAAAAACAGTTTCGTTGTTAGCAGCTAGAATATTTTTTACAATTACCAACTGAAATTTCAGAGAATAAAAAAATATTTATTTATTTTGGGATAATAATTATGACTCATTATGCCTTTTTTAAGAAGAAAGCATCATTTGATAGAAACAGGAAATCTGTACATATTTAAGATATATTTCCAAGAAATTTCCGTTTTTCATTGCATTCAGATTTTCACTTATTGATAATTGCATACGATAAATCAAATTTCACATTTTGTTTCTCTTCATATTCATGACTGAAGTTGTTGTACAAGATAGAATCTCATTTAACTATGGATAAATATTTTTGTAGGCATTTGACCAGAAATCAATTTGCACTTCATCTGTTATTATTTATCTGTCTTTACTATATTTAGATACACCTTAACTATCCAAATATGAATAATTCGCGAAGTACAATCAAAGAAGAATTAACAAACGGTAATGAACATATTTACGCAAATGTGCAAGAAATGGAACTAGAAAGCCGGCGGCAAGGCCAACCTCCTGTTCCAGATTCTACCAATGAAGCAGTAAGAGATATGGGAAGTGGATGGTACGAGTATCTGACGCAAGCCGGAAGGTTGAAAACCATACTATTAAAATACCACTTTAATTCGAGTTAGATTGTAAATAATTATGTTTTGAATATTTGGAAATATTAAAATTAACTGGGTAATGCTGGCGCTGGATCAAATGTGATTTTTCAAATTTTCTGCAGACCGTACTTCTGCAATCACGAAACAGGTGAATGTCGTTGGAAACCGCCTCGGTTTTTGAAACCGCCGTTAGAAATTGTTACATCATTAAATGGTATTGTTTACCAGCAAGAGATTCCAGCTGGTACAGCGATAGAGCCTGGAAATAATATTTCAGCATCATCCTCAGAATCTCATACAAACATATCTGCACTTTGTTTTGTATGTATTCATTAAATTTTTTGCGATTTATTGTGTTGCATAAATAATATTTAATTTGGTTGGTGAAATATTTTGTATATGGACTCCCAACATTTTGCATTATATAGTTATGCAGTTTTGGACAGATCTGTTTGCAAATGATATCCATGATAATATTTTCTATTCTCATCTAATAATGTAATTTTCTTTCTAGGCAAAGCCAGGCGATAGCAGCAGTGGTGAGAATAGCAAATCAGGTACGATTCGTTCAACATTAAGCGTTCGTAATAAAATTCTGGAAAAGCGGATGTCAGTACAAGCAATTACCCAAGAGCTCGAAGCTGTGGCCGCTGCAAACATTCACTCGAATGAAAATATTGGGGCTGATTCAGTTTCTTATTTCAGTATATTTTCTTAAACATTTAAAAATTACAAAATGATATCGTACTAATCAAACTGTTTCGCATATTTGATATTATCACTTAGCTCAAAAGTGCTATATGTAGTGTTCATAATATTTTTGCTTTTAAATTAGTAAGACAGGGAATATATTTAGTTTGATGCAGCCAATTAATATGCCTGTCAGCTTATAATTTCTCTTTTTTTTCAAAATTTAAGTTTGTAATTTGCTTTAATTGTTAATGAAGATTACAAACAGATGTAATTTATATTTTTAAGTCCCAAAGATTGTCGGTGTGGAGTCATGCTCAAACAGTTCTAATCGTATATTGTCAAAAAATATCACTCATAAATCAATTAAATGTGGTACGCTGGAAAAGGTTTGCACTGCTCTACCAATTAAATTTTGGCAAAAATTTCAGTCGGAATTGTCTTTGAAATTACTTTATTTATCTTGAAAATAAAAAGCAAGTTGGCATGGTTCTCGGTAGCATTTTCACATTGCTTGAAAGTATTTAGTTATGAATACCTTCCTTTTGAGCTGAAGATCGGTCTTTTTAGAAGCTAGCAGTAAGTTTGAGGTTTTGTATGCGTTAAGTCTAAACTATCTCGTCTAATTTTATATCATTCATAATTAATAAGTTTCTGAGAAAAACTTGCAAACTTCGCTTTAAGCAATGTGAATGAAACCCAAAAGTTGAAAATAGTTTTTATTTTTGAGTTTTTTTAACACTTTTAAAACTAATTTTCATTCGAAAAATACACTGTTCAAGTTTAGATAAATGAGTTTTTAGTGTAAGGTAGCAGATGCAGGAGTGAAACTCAAGAAAAAAGAATGGTCATCATGTTATCTTTTTCTTTCATCTGCTCACATTATATTTTATAAAGACGAACGAAGTGCTGAGGTATGTTTTTGTAAGTAGCTATCAAAATTCTAAATGAAGATGAAGTATGTTGAAGTAAGTCATTAGGTAATTCATTTTCATTGGAATGTTGAAGAAATCAGGACGGCACTATGAAGCACCTTTGGGCATGTGTGACCTTCGTGGAGCAACAGTACAGTGGGTTGACGAAAAGGATAAACGTAGAAAGCACATTTTTCTGGTAATATTTTATCTAAGAACATATTAGCTGAAAATAAACGAAAATAATTGTGCTTTTTTGTTTGTTGAATTTGATGTACTTCCACTTATCTTACAAAATAATGCCATATGTATTTGAATGAAATATTTCTTGTGTTTGAATATTTTCTCGGATCCAATTCAGTACATGCTATTGCAGCTTGAGCTGACGGATGGTACGATTTATTACTTCAGTACTTCAAACACACAGGATGTAAATGGCTGGTTTCACGCTATGCGTCAAGTTGTGTCGAAACTGGTAATTTCAGGGTTCTTTTGACATGTTTTTTTGATGCTTTATTTCATTGAATTGTTGTTTTGAAAACGTAAAAAAGCACCTCATGTCTTTGTAGAATTTTTGCTATTGAATTTGTTGGTTTTGGATTCATTTATGATTCATACTTTTTTGAAATTTAAGATTAGAAATCAAAAACTTGCAAGAATATAAATTTTATGTGTAGCATTAATTAATCTTGTGCTTTCATCATTTTCAATAGTTTAATTGTTTAGCCGCGTCCTGACATTTGTCCAACACCAGTTTTGGAAGGTAGAGTCTCTGCTGGCTTAATACGCAATTCAAGCAATTTGTCATATTCTGCAGGATCGCTGAGCACTGGTCAAGTGCGAAGGTCATTTAAGAAATCGAAATGCTCAGGAAAAGGTGTAGACGTAATGATCATTCAAAAAAGCATCTTGAAGCTCCTGATTTGCGTTATCCTGGCAGAGAATGCTTGTCATACATTTGTAATAATTTTTTATTCCCAGATGCAACATTACCAAGTGATGATAAGAAGCGCAATGAAATTGAAGAAATAAGGCTAACTCGTGAAACAATCATTGAAAAACTGAAACGCTTTTTTCGTTCGAGGCCATCCATAGAAAGTTTAAAGGAGAAAGGCATTTATAAACGTTAGTTTTCAAGTGATGTTTATGAACTTGAGATTTATGTATGCTTGGAAGATGATTTGTATTATGTTGCTTATTTCTATGTTCAGGCTTAGCTTACAGTCCATTGTTTGCAGTTGTTAGAATTAGATCATCTTGTAAATAGGTTTTTGCATGTTTAGTAATCTTAGTAATCCCTAATTTCTGTTTCCAATTATACCGATATGAATACAGATTGAAATTTTTTAGAATTCAGTGATGGATCTCTGGCATATTTGATTTTTTTCAAAGTAGTTTGACCAATCTTCTCAGTTTGAATTAGAATAAATCCATCTTAAAAAATTTATTGTTTATGTGTTTTATAGCAGAATCCGTTTTTGGAAGTACATTAGCTGCAATTTGTCATCATGAGCAATCCACAGTTCCGCGTTTCATTCAGTTAGTTACGGAAGTAATAGAATCTAAAGGTCTTGACACAGACGGTCTTTATCGAGTGAGTGGAAATCTTTCATCAATCCAAAGGATTCGTTGTCAAGTTGACCAAGGTGATCAATAAGGTTTTATTTGCTAGTTTGTTACGATTTTGCACATATTGTTAAAATTATTGGGTAATTTCTTATTTCAATATATATCTCTAACTGGAGTGAATCGTTATTGAGTTTGAAATCTCCGGTATCTAAGTAATTTTAATGCCTCGGAAAGTCTGAACTGTATTTGATAGTCATCTTAGAGTTTATTTAAATTTGTTCCGACTTATTATTATTATGTTGCTTTCATGCTTTATTTTCACTGCTTTTTTCAGACGCAGTTCATAAAAAAGTTAAAAGGCCATATTTCAGAAAAATATATTGCTTTACTGGCAGAAGATGACGTTCATGTTTTAACAGGCGCTTTAAAATTGTTTTTTCGAGAACTTTCAGAACCCATATTTCCAGCTAATTTGGCAAAAGATTTTATCTATGCTAACCGTATGTTTGCCACATTATTTTGCTGTTTTAGACTCTGTTTGATCATGTGAAGGAATTAACCTTAAATTTTAGGATTGCCGAAAGGAGAAGGAAAGTTGAAATCATTTGATGAATTGTTGAATAGATTACCATTAATAAATAGAGAAACTCTCAAAGTTTTATTTGGTCATCTTATACGGTCAGTTTAATGAAAATTGTAATCACTTGCGTGTGTGTGTATCCTTTATAATTATATTTAAGAATATTTTGAATCATTTTGTCAAATTTGTTGGCTTCATTTAGTTGAAATGTTTTAAATGACACTTGTGCTTCTGGTTATGGAGATTTTAGAGCAGGTAAAAAAAATAGAGGTTTTTAATTAATAAATTTCACATCATTAGCTAATTACGTAATAATCTTTCCCTTATTTACTTTTCTCATTCCATGTTTAGGGTTGCGAACCATGCAGATAAAAACCGGATGGAAATCCATAATTTGGCAATCATGTTTGGTCCATCCCTCTTTAGCAGTGGTAGTGGCGAGATGAATGGAGATAATAAAAAAACGGGTAACTCGAAAAAAGGAAAGGGTTCTGACAAGAAGACGAAGCCGAAACCGATTGGTGTGCAAAGCAATTCGCATCTCGCTTATAATATGATTATGCAGGGTCAAACTGTAGAATACCTTCTAAAAGAGTTTAAGAGATTTCCATCGATGCAGTCTCATCAGCAATGATATGAATCTCGTAACGAATGGAGGTATGTGTTGTGCCTTGATTTCTGCTTATTTGTCATTTTTCTTGCGAGATAATTAAGAGGGGCAGTGTATTTCTTAGGTAGTGAGTTACGTCAGCAATCAGAGTTTGCTCTTTGCTATTTTTCATATATTAACTTGTGGTTGACTGATTTCAAAATTCTTATTAAGAATAATATATCAAGTAATTATTGTTATTCTTGCTTCTTCATCTCCTTCCATATACTCTATGTTTTAGGGTATCTTGTAACTTTTCATCGTTTGTGCTAGCTTATTTGTACATTAAAATTTTTCTTCTATATTTTGTAAAGGTCTTGCAGTATTTGCTCCGCAATCTTTTTTAGTAGCTGATCTTATATTGTTCATACAGTGAACTGGTTTTAAATAGTTATTTCTTTCAAAAGTTTCTTTTACATTCCATTTTTTGATATTCTGCAAAAATGTTTTGCCTCGTAGCAATATTTTCTTTTTATGAAACACACAATATAAAGGCAGCTGCATTCTTTCTTTCCTTTGGTCAAAAGTAACGTAATGTTTTATTTGATGTAAAGTTTTTTTGCATAAGTAGAATATTATTTGTCCTAAGAACTGAAATTGTAACTTTGGTGGGATGTGTGCATTTTATATTTTTTCTTTGGGATTTTTTTCTATTTTGTAGATTACTTTGTTAGTTTTCTGTAAACTGCTAACTATATAAATTTATCGGCTTAAGATGTTAAGTTCTGATTGTGTAATGAGCAAATGAACAGATTTGCTGTGCTGAATTTGTTTCCTCTGCATAAATTGAAATTATATACCATCAACTTGTGCATTTTGTATACAAGCGAATGGCAGAATATAGCACGCTGTGCAAGAAAAGAGAACGCAATGTTGTGAGGAGTACTTCTCGAAAATGAAGCTCAAGTGAATTTAGTTATTCAGTTGTTTTAATTTGTATTGTTGGAGATGGTTGTGATGGCAAGCAAGTATGTATTATGGGTCAGCCATTAGTTGATTAGGTGATCGCACATGCTTGCTTTGCTTATATTTCAAACTCAGTTAATGTTTTTGAAACTCTTGTAACCATATTTCAATTCATGTATGCTATCTTAATATCTCATAATTTCTTGTGTGTATATTGTTTATGTATCAATTCAGGCTATTTTTTGTGGTTTATTCTATTTGTTCTTTATCATTTTCACATTACTATCTTCTTTTGCGTCATGCAGTTTGCAGCACTTTTTGTTTTAGTCAATTTGGGTGATAAAATGTGCTGTTTTTCATCAACAACTCAAAGCTTTAAACTGTTAAAATTCAAAATATTTGCATGGTTAGTAAAAGTTTAACTATTAGATGTGCTTCAGAATTAGGACTTGGTGAAAGTAGATTTTACGAATCAAAGTTGCTGGGTAATTTTTGAAGCAATTTACAAAAAAACATTTCTTGTTAAATATTGTGAAAGCATGCAAAGTCCTAAGTAATTTGAATCGTAAGTTTCTTTTTCTGACTCGTTTTCTTCGAGTTGAGTTGAAAGGAAATTTAATTCTTCTGCTTTCGAAATTTTCACGTCTTAGCATTCATAATGTAGTCATGTTGCGGAGGTTATTGGGTTATTTTAAGAAAATATTTGAGACTGGGACACAAATGTGTTTTAGAAAGCAACATGCAATATGTTGAATTATTGCATTGAACTATGAAAAAGAAGCATTTGGAGTCGTTCTTGTCTGCAATTGAAACATTTCAAAATCCTAAAGTACGTCTAGAGCAGTATTCAACTGGTATTGAACTCGCAGGTAAATTTTATCAATTTTAGTACGATTTGGGATTATTAGTAAGTAAAAGTAGACTGTGTTCTGATTCATTTCATGATAAAAGTAGAAATTATAAACTATATTTTTGATTTGCCAATTGGAAAAAAAGTGGTACATGTTAAATTTGTCCTGAACTTTATGAGTCCTTTGATAATGTAATTTTCATTTTTATTTTTAAAGAAGCAATTCTAAGCTCAATATACGACGAAGAATGCATTGATAACTGCGCAGTGGCAGATTTGGGTTGCGGTTGTGGTATATTACTGCTAGGAGCAGTCAAGCTTGGTGCGAGGTAAGCTTCTGAAAACTATTGTGTAAGTTAATTTGAATAAGTAAATTACTGCGGAAAGTATTTTAATTGTTTTAGATACGGTGTAGGTGTTGAAATTGATGAAGAAGCTATCAAAATTTGCCGTAATAATTTGAAGCATTGTCAACTGGAAAATTGTGTGGATATAATTTGTCTAGATGTAACGAAAAATATCACCGCTTTGATGCCTGTGTTCGATACTGTTATAATGAATCCGCCATTTGGTACTAAAAATAATGCAGGTTTATATTTTGACGAGTTTTATTGCATCAAATTAAGAGTATTATAAGTGCCAGTCTCTTTTTTTCAATCAAATATATGATTTTTGATGATAGTTCAACACAAAATAGTGTCTCGGTGCGTTTTCAGCATCAAATTAAGAGTATTATAAGTGCCAGTCTCTTTTTTTTAATCAAATTTTATGCGTTTAAAATGCATGCATAGTTTAATATGTGAATTTATTGAGTCTTTTTTTAAATTTCTTTTGATATTTTATTATAACATTGTAAGAAATTTTTGAAATGAAGCGATTCAGGTTTTGATTTCGCTGTAAATTTAGGAATAGATCTGCAGTTTGTCGAAGCTGGTTTTTCGCTTTTAAAGCAAGGCGGAAAACTTTTCTCTCTACACAAAAGCAGCACGAGACATCACATTAAAAAATTTGCTGATCGAAAAAAAAAGAGAGGTATTAGTGGCGAGTGTATCGCAGAACTTGTATGGGATTTACCTGCTACATATGTCTACCATAAACGACAATCGGTCGATATTCAAGTTGATTTGTGGAGATTTTCTGTAGATTCTGAAGCTTCTGCAACTTAGATATATTTTGTATTTTGTTCTATGATGATGGGAAAGTGAAAATGATCTCAGTTTGAATGATTTAAGTATTTGCAGTTTTGTATATTTTTGTGGATTTCTTTTCAATAATTGAGCTCAAGTGATGTATTGCCTTCAAGTAAATAACATGCAAATTTTTTGTACCGATTTGATTGGTCATATTTGTGATAAAATGTTACTTTGTTTTCGATTTAGTGATGATAACTAAATTTACATTTTGGATTTAGCATAATATGGATTACAAATTTTTAACTTCACTGTCTCAATTCCACGATTTTGGCTCTTGTCTAGTAAATTGGTAATTAAAATATAGATCGTATACTATGGATATTTTGGTGATATTTTTCGATACAAGAAATAAGAACTCACATGAGTAACATTGATGTCAGTTTTTATTTGCAATCTGAAATGATATAAAATAACTGGTGAAGGTGCTGTTTATTTATTTGATCCAGTCTTAGTTTTCCAACTCATATTTCATTTAAAGATCGAGTGCTAAAAGAATTTGAAAAGAATAAAATAAAAATATATATACTTATTTATGTATATATATATATATATATATATA